TTCATATTTGTTATCGCATTGGAAGGATTGTCCATTCTACCTTGATAATGAGTTGCTTTACAAGCATGGTTTTGCAACCCTTGTAGTTTGACTAATTTTGTTTTGTGTGTTAGCCCACACTATATTATAATACAGTGTTGGCTAATACACAAAACAAAATTATTTATCTAACATAAGCTAATATTAGCATATGTGAGATGACTGTGAATTAGACTAAAGTAAAGTCATTTTCTTGAAAAGAAATCAAGAAACAGGCGACATTTATGGAAGATACCTATTGATCAATATAAACACCAAGATACTTTGGATATTTTTTCCGTTTTATTGTTACGTTGTTAATGAGCAATTCTGGAATTTTTAAAGGTAGAGTCATTGATTGACCTGTTTTATGAAATAGGATGTAATTAGTTTTTCACAGTTTAAGGATAGTTTGTTTGCTCTAAAACCTAAATTAAAGTTTTCCAGTTCAGCATTCATTGTTTCGAACATCAATTTTAAATTACTATGATTATAAAATAAAGATGTTCCATCTCCAATGAAAAATAAAACCACGTCCCACAAGGGTTCTATGTGAGTTCCGTGTGGGATTCATGGGATTTATATGGGACAGATTTTCCCAAACCGTATCCGTATGGAAATTTGCCACTTAATACCCATATGGGTTAATCCCACATGAGTTACATGTGGTATTTACCCACAAGGGATTTTCCCATGTTGTATCCGTATGGAATTTTGCCACTTCAAACCCATATGGGTAATCCCACATGAGTTACATGTGGGAACCTTATGGTATTTACCCACATGGGACATCCCACGTGGATTTCTAGTGGGATTTACATGGGATTTTATTTGAAGGATGGAAACTAAAATAATCCTAAATGTTAATAACAAGATTACATTACTTTCGCGGTGAAGTTACATGGAATCGAGTGTAGGGGAGAAATACTCCTATTGAATTATAAAAAACCCGTATCCGCATTCCGCATTACGTATAAATCTGTGATAATTTTACATGAGTTATTTTTCGTAAACAACATACATGATTTATTTAAATATTTTTCAAAATATATTTTTTTTAATTTACAAAATCTTCATATTATAAATACTTTATATTTTAAAGTATTTATTATACTTTATATTATAAAGTATTTATACTAAAGAGATTTTTTTTATATTAAAAAAAATGTTAAAAACTTTTTTTCTCTATTTTTTCATATAATCATGTTTTTGAATTATTTGTTTAGTTTTTTTTTCCTTTTTGAAAGAGGTTATTTATTGGTTAGAAAAACGTTTTTGTTTATTTCTTTTATGCATCTTTAATTTTTAGATAAAAAATTGTAGAGCATAGATTAAATATCCTGAAAAACATATCGTTTGTAGTTTTGTTTGTGCGCAGCTAGTTGATTTTATCATTTTTAAAAGGGGCCTACTTTATACCACTCTCCCCAATATTTAACACAACACGTTTTAAAAAAACTGAAAGAAATTAGGTGGCTTAGTAAACAGGCTATTTAAATATAAATGCTGCTCTCTGTATCTATTACATAGTATTAATATATTTACGGCTATAACTATAATAATAATAATAAATTGCAGAAGATACTAAACTTTTTTTCTAAAGTTTTATCGCACACTCTTTTCGCTGCTGACCTGGTTGATTGTCTACACTTTGTAAATGAAAACACTTGGTTGCTTAACTTAAAGATTTTAAAATGCTTTTTTATTTACTATGATCAAACCTGTTACTTTTTTAAAAATAACTAAGTTATGAATAAATGCTTAAGAAGCTATACTAAAGAACGTAATTTGGGATTTCTCAATTAAAACCCTGACGAGTTTTTTTGTTCTTTGCCTTAGTTTTATTGAGATGATCCAAATTGAGTTATATAGATAAAATACGAACCATTTGGAGACATATTAATGGGTCAAAACATTGTTTTATCACTCTTTCTTTAACAATTGCAAATAATGACAAAACATACGTGCCTACTCATTATACCCGATTTATTTTGAGCCGAGCTAGTTTCGCTGCATTATCAAACCACATAGCAGCCTCTCAACAAACAACAGTTACTACCGACTCGTCTCAAAATATAACAAAGCCATAAAGTTACATATGCCATTGATGACTGCTCTATTTGTTGCTAAAATAGAAATATGGTTTACCTCCGGTCTATGAAGCTGTAAAAAGAAAACGCGAGTTATGGGGCAAATATAGAGTCTTAAGACGCCACTCTCACAAACTATTACAAAAATCAACACAAAACCGCTAAGATGTTAAGATTATTAAACAGGCAATACAAACGTTCGAGAAGCAGCAGTTATTTTTTAACTCGAAGTCTGATCCAAAGAAGCTAAATGCATATGTCCGCAGTAAAAAGCAAGTTAAAGGACTGATTTAGTTAAATGACTGATTAACCCTCTAGAGATCACGGATGGAACCACAACAGTTCACAAGTTCACAACAGTTCACAAGTTCACAACAGTTCACAAGTTCACAACAGTTCACAAGTTCACAACAGTTCACAAGTTCACAACAGTTCACAAGTTCACAACAGTTCACAAGTTCACAACAGTTCACAAGTTCACAACAGTTTACAAGTTCACAACAGTTCACAAGTTCACAACAGTTCACAAGTTCACAACAGTTCACAAGTTCACAACAGTTCACAAGTTCACAACAGTTCACAAGTTCACAACAGTTCACAAGTTCACAACAGTTCACAAGTTCACAACAGTTCACATGTTCACAACAGTTCACAAGTTCACAACAGTTCACAAGTTCACAACAGTTCACAAGTTCACAACAGTTCACAAGTTCACAACAGTTCACAAGTTCACAACAGTTCACAAGTTCACAACAGTTCACAAGTTCACAACAGTTCACAAGTTCACAACAGTTCACAAGTTCACAACAGTTCACAAGTTCACAACAGTTCACAAGTTCACAAGTTCACAACAGTTCACAAGTTCACAACAGTTCACAAGTTCACAACAGTTCACAAGGAAATCATTAGTCATACTCTCAACAACTACTTAAAATCAGTGTTTGTCACAAATCAAACACATAAGATGTCTGCATTCACCAATAAAATCAAAGAAAACTTCAATTTTGAAGCAAAAGACAGCTGTTGAAGATGTCGAGTCAAGACTACGCCATCTCACAGAAAGTCAATGGGGGCAGATGAAATCCATCAATGAAGCACGACACGGACTTGTAAAACAAAAGATCTGTGTAACGAATCAAAAGATCTGTGTAACGAATCTGTGTAACAAAAAAACGCTTATTATTCTCACAGAAGCTGTCCATCTCGTTAACGTAGTAGATGTGATACACAATAATATTAACCAAGCCTTTGACAAGGTGCCACATAAACATTTACTAAAAACTACAAGCATACGGCATCGAGGCAGTTTAATATTCTAGATCGAGGAATGCTTAAATGCTTAAATGCCAACAAAAAGTAGTCATTGATAAACACACCTCGAAGTGGAAATATGTTCAGTAAGGAGTCTTCTTCTATTGTTTATTTTCTTCATTGACAAACTGCTAGATAAAATTCATCACCACATTAAATTGCACACAGGTGACAGTAAAATTATAGCCATCATCAAATTTTGTTGCGCAAGCTCTTCAAGCAGAAGTTCTTCAAGAAAAAACAGTCGACTGCATCGTTAATATCTGCTTGAAGAGTCTGTACAACAAGACTTATTGATGAATATTGGTTATATTAATGATGGTGAATATTGATGATAGTGAATATTGATGATGATGAATATTGATGATGGTTAATATTGATGATGGTTAATATTGATGATGGTGAATATTGATAATGGTAAATATTGATGATGGTGAATATTGATGATGGTGAATGTTGACGATGGTGAATATTGATGATGGTGAATATTGATGATGGTGAATATTGATGATGGTGAATATTGATGATGGTGAATATTGATGATGGTAAATATTAATGATGGCGAATATTGATGGCACATTGCAATTAATAATAATAGTAACTACCACAGAACGAGGTCTAAAAATTCTCGTATCGGATAACCTAAGCGTTGGAACTCAAATAGAATCTGCCGCCTCAAACCAACTTTAAAAGGCTTTCCACAGTGGTGATTTTATACTATGGCGCAGTCTATACTTAGCCTCATCTATAATTTGCCGCACAATCATTTTCATTTTTTTCAAAAGGTAACATTCCATTCCTCAAACAAGTACAGAAATGAACGACGAAAACTATTGCCACAATCAAATATTTATTGTACGAAGTGAGACTAATCCGGCTTGGGAGTACCACCCTAGAACAAAAGCAATTACGTGGAGACTTAATTTTACTATATAAAATGATAAAAAATAATAAAAATAGATATTTGCGTGCTAAAAAACAGCCATCAAAATACGGACTACGCAGATACAATAAGCAAATAGAGAGACAAAATGTAAAAAAATGCGCATTACATGAACATTTCTTCACAAATCTTGTTGTCTCTAATTGGACGCTTTTTATCGCAAAAAGCTATAGATACACCTACAGTTAACTCTTTTAAGGACTCAATTATTAAGACCGTCTGCTGCTTCATTTCCAGCATAAAATCGTGAAGGAAAGAGGAAACCTCAAAATAGAAGAAGAGAGGTGTTGCTTGTCTTCATCAATAATTTTGTAATTATTGATAACTATAAAAAATAAATTAAAACTCAAAACCAAGCTTAAAATTTTAAAGTTTAAGCTTGGTTTTGAGTTGAACTTTTTAAACTTGACCAATGGTCAAGTTTAGAAACATGGTCAATAACCATGATTCTTAATCTGTGCGCTGGAAATTATTTTTACGCTTAATGAATGTTTTGGCAACATTTTTTTTTTCTTCAAGCAAACGGCTTCTTGTTTGTTTACTGTTTATATACATGTGTTAAATCCAAAATATTAATACAAAATATAGCGTCTATCCACATCAACATTTAAAAATAATAGTTATAGAAATAATGTTTGAAAATTTTAAATGCAATATGCGTAATATGATTCAAAATACTGCAGCATTTTTTAGTTTTTCAGAAAGTTTAATTATATTTATTAGAAACTAACTAAAATTTCTGCAGCTAAAGTGTTTGAGGTTAATTTTTTTATGATGAACTATTTTAACGTATTTGTAAAATTTTGGACTTTATCTATTGCCTTTCAAAATAATTTTTTTGTAAATGGCCAATGCGTATTAAATGCTGCATGTTTTCCTCCATCTATTGATGTTGCAAAATTAATTCCACATAACATGACAATAAACTCTACATGTGGAGAGGTTCCTGAGGACTTTTGTGTGGATACAGATTGTTCACTTAAATGTGATGCAAAGGATGAGCAGACGTCTCATCCTGGAAAATATCTCATTGATTCATATGATCTTATTACTTATTGGAAAAGTAAAAATTTCGACGAACCTGTGTTTATTCAATGTGATTTTGGATATAATTTGATGTTACATCAAATTACAATAACATTTCAGTTTGAACTTCCATCAAGTATGTATATTCAAAGATCTCAAGACACAGGAAATTCTTTTACAACATTAATTTACTTTGCTCTTCGGTGTAATGATACATTTAACATGCAAGAATCAGTTAATTACAATAAGCTTGATGTTATTTGTCTTCGTATTAAATCAGAAGCTATACAAAACCAAGTGAGAACTTTAAATTTAGATATGAAACATTATAATAATTAGTTATTAAAAATATTTTTTATTTAAATGGTAATGTTTTTTTTTTTCTTAATTCATTAGAAATTATGGTACATTGCTAGACTCACCATATTGTTACACTTATTACTACTATCTTAAAGCTGAATGGGATTCTTTTTATGATTTACTTAGTGGCAGACCTTATACTGATTTCCTTTATCTTTATGCTGATAAGTGTGCCTTCTATGTAATCTCCTGTATCCAGGCATTTATCAAAGCTTTTATTCCTTCTAATTGGTTTCCAGTCAAGCCTTATTCTACTCCATTGTTTTCTTGTGCTTTATCTAATCGCAATCATTTTAAAAATCTTTTTCACAAGAAAAACTCCCTTGAGAACAAACGTTTTTTTATTGTTGCAAAAAGTCAATGTAAAAATGTATTATCTGATGCATAATCCATTATTGCAGCTCCATTATTCCCAGTTTACTAAATCTCATATATATTCTCATAATTTAGGCTCGAGAGACTTTTAAACAGTTTTCAACAGTGTCATTAACAAAGTTTGAACATTCTAACGTGAAATCTTAAAATCTCTCTCAAGAACAAAACAGAGCTATTTGCAAATAACTTTTCCTCTAATTCAATTCTAACATTCTAGCTAAACAGGTTAACCCATTGTTATACATCACTCTGACTTCCTTTTCTAAAGTCATTTCTCAATTAAAATCTTCAATGTCTTGTGGTCCAGAAAAAATTTCTGTCATAGTCTTACAAAAGTGTCCAGAACTCTCTCTTAACTATTTAATAAGTGTTTAACTAAACCAATTTTTAAAAACTCTGGAGAACGTCTATTATTCAATCAGTCCTTATCTATTATCACCAAGGTCTCTGAGTCTTTAACTAATAAATTTCTAATATCCCTTCTTTAGTCTCAGACAATCAATACAGTTTTCTATCTTCTTGTTCTACAGCTTACTTGCTAATTGTTATAACTTAAAGATTTGCATCCTTTTACTGTATCTGACTCTGATGCTCTCAAAACATTTTTTTATCTTGTTTTTTCCTTTCACTTTAATGCTTTGGAACTCTCTCATTTTCATGATATCCTGACTCATGGAACCTTTAACTTTTTAAGTCTTCTGTAAACCATTTCTTTGTTCTTTAACACTGTTCTTTGTTTTCCATTGACTCCCATATTATTAGAGGTCACTTGCAACCTTTTTGGGAGTGAGTAACCCAATATATATATATATATATATATATATATATATATATATATATATATATATATATATATATATATATATATATATATATATATATATATATATATATATATATATATATATATATATATATATATATATATATATGTATATATATATATGTATATATATATATATATATATATATATATATATATATATATATATATATATATATATATATATATATGTATATATATATATATGTATATATATATATGTATATATATATATATATGTATATATATATATATATATGTATTAGTGATGTACCGATTGCACATTTTTGGCCGATGCCGATACCGATGCCGATGGATAGGAAAAGGCCGATACCGATGCCGATACCGATAGATTAACTAGCTATTATAATTTGATAGTATAAAACCATACATCTTTAAATCGTGTAAAATTTTTCATGGAATCAGAACTGGTAAGCAAATACTTGGACCCAAATCAGAGTCAAACCTTTATTTCAAAAGATATTAGAAAAGCTCAATCAAATAAATATACATTTTTTACTTTTTTTTAACTATGAAAAGAAAACTTTCAAAAAATAAATACAATTTTAGGGATAAAAATAAAAAAATGCCATCGGTTGGAAAATCGGTAAATTGATAAAGAAAGACCGATGCCGATACCGATACCGATTGTGCAAAAAGTGGCCGATTAAGCCGATGCCGATGCCGATGCCGATTAATCGGTACATCTCTAATATGTATATATATATATGTATATATATATGTATATATATATATATGTATATATATATATATATATATATATATATATATATATATATATATAGTATATATATATATATATATATATATATATATATATTATAGCAATGGTAAAAGTGAGAATCTTTTTAATGTATTCCCTTTGTTATAAAGCTGTTGCTTTAACCTGTTTTCCTCACAGGGTTGTGATCAAATAAGTTTTTGTATTTGATAATAATATGTTATATTTTCACATTTGTGTATAAAGCTTTTTTTAATTCTTATATTTGTTTTTAATTGAAATGTATTTGTATTTCTATAAACTATATTGACTTTTTTTTTTTTTTTTTTTTCGAAAAATTTAAGGGTTTCTTTGTTTTTATGTTATAATTTAAAAGTTTTTTTTAAAGTGATATTTTTCAATTACTTTTTTTATTCTTTTGTTTAGTTTACCATTTCTTCAACATAGTTTACAAGTTCTTTAATTGTTTATTAAATAGTTTCAGTAATTGTTTTTCAAGTACTTTATTTTATAATAAAAATTAAAAATAAAAAAAATTAAAAAGCATTGTTTAAAGAATCATATAAAGAATTTTACAATTGTTTTTAAAAATCCTATTAATTAAGTTTATTTATCCTGTAAAATACAAAAAAAGTAAAAACAATATAAGTAAAAGAGATAGTTTAAGCTTTGTTGTTGAAAAAATCTCATAAATTTTTCCTTAAAGTTAAGTCAAGGTGGTACTACCCTATTAAAAACACATTTATTTTTTTGATTACAAAAGATTAAACTCCCTAGTTCATGAGCACCAGTTTACCATTCTTTAAAAATTAATAAAAAGTCTATAAATTAGTATTCAAGTCAACAAGAATAATTTAAAAGTCTTAACAACGGCCTTAGAAATTTGTTTAACTTGTTATGTTATTATTTTATTCTTAATGCACAACAATACAACAAAAAATGTCTAAAAAATATACAATTGATGTCAAATAAAAGAGTTAAAAAGACTTTAATATTAATAAAAAAAAGTTGTTTTAACAAAGCGAAAAAGTATTCAATATTATTGTCCTTTTTCAGTTTTGATGCTTTTTAATTAGATATTTTATTTAGCATATAATTTTTTTAATTTTATAAGTTGTTTTTCTGCAATTTTCTCAAAAACTATTTGCTATTTTAATTTGAAATATTTTACAGTCTACTAATTGTAGAATAGGCTGGTAGTAGTAGTTTTGGTCAGAGTTCAAAATATTACTTACCTCATATATACTTGTACCTCATGTATACTTGCCATTTTACTTTTGATGAATATTTTGAAAAACCTTTCCTCTTCTTTTTTTCTTTTTTTTTTTACATCTTCGCTTCCAACAAGGCTGCATGCAACCACTATAAGAGTCAGAAGTTACTGGAAGTGAAAAGATGAAGTTTATAGAGCAAGATAACGATTGACAGACGACTTAAAAGATTGCAAATTAGGAACAGTCACAGAAAAAAGATGAAACTTAATTGAATGACGAGTAACACGAGAATGAATTTTAGTAGATGACACAAGAGATGCTAGCTCTTTAGAGCAGTACCCATTATAGTATTTTTAGAAAAGAGAAAGAAAAGCAATGTTATGATGATGCGATAATGGTTGGAGGTTGGCTGCAAGAGCAGGTCCAATGTTTACAATGCATTTTTTCTATATGCTTGTAAAAATTTAAACTTACATCTCAACATTTGCCAATATTAATTATGTTCTTTTTACCTGCATGTTTTTAGCTTTTTTTTGCTGACTCTATAAAATAATAAAAAATATGTTTTTTTATATTCAGATTGTTTAGCACTATCAAATAAAGTTTCTCATTTAAAGAAAAATTTAAAAAAATAAAAATTGCAGGATTGTACCACCTTGTACCAAATATATTATTTACTAAAATGAAGATAAATTAGCTAATTATAGATTTAAAGTAATAAATAAAGTTAATCATATTAAAAATTAAAAATCGGAATAAAAGACACATATTCATGATGAGGGTGTACTAGCAAAAAAATTTAACTATATCTGCATTTAAAAATGAAAATGTGTGTCAGATAAGACACACATTTTCATTTAGTGACATTTTGTTCCTTTAGTGACATGTATAATTTTACATTTTTCTATATTTAACTGCGTATTCTAATCATTGTGCAATGAAAATTAAAATTTATGTCATCCTGTAGATCATTACAACTATAATCACAGATTACCTGAAAAACTTTGCAATTATTAGAATTGAGCTTACATTTACTTTTTAGCTTATCTGGAAAATCATTGATATAAATTAAAAACAAAAATAACCCCAGAAAAGAGTCTTGTGGTACACCACTTGAAACACTAAGCCATGTAGAAGCAAAGTCTTCAAGAATAATTATTTGCCTTCTATTAGGTAAAAAAAGACTTAATCCATTTAAAAACTAATCCCTTTATAATGTACATTTTAATTTTGAATATAAGTTTACTATTATGAACTCTGTCAAATGCTTTGAAAAAGTCAGTAAAGGGTATCAATAGTGTAATCTTGATCCGTTGCCGCAGTTAGAATATTTTGATTTTTAAGTAAATTTGTAATTTACTTGAAAGATTTATTTGCAGGATTTACCTGGTAAAAAACCATGCTGAATCTTATCAAAAGATGCCAAATGATGTTTTTTTTTTAATTATCCTTTCTAAAGTTCTATAGTTTAAAGGATCAAGCTTATTGCCATTTTATAGTTGAAAGGATCAAGCTTATTGCCTTTTTAAATAATTGGAACTATGTTTGAATCTTTTCATGCTTTTGGTTTCTCTCCTGATTCAAGGTGTAGCTTAATATGTTCAATCGGAAAACTCAAACTTTCAGAGCAGTTATTCAATACATATCGATGGACTCCATTGCTGCCTCAAGTTTTGTGTTTATTCAATGATTTTAATTGTAAAATAGTTTCTATTAGGCTGATTATTTTATTTATATAATTTGTTTTCACAGTAAACTTTAGTAACAGGATTAAATTTTGGTAAGGCTTTGTTATCGTCTTGAGTAAATAAAGATTTTAAACAGGTATTCAACAAATTAGAAAAATTTAAAAGGTTATTACTTATTGTACGATTTGAAAACCTTAAAGTGCGAATTCCATCTTTATATTTTTGTTTGCTGTTCATGTATGAATAAAGTTTCTTAGGATCAGATTTAAAACTTTTAGCCGAGTCATATTCATATTGTTTCAAGGTTTCATTTAGCACAAATATTTTATCAATATATTTTCTTTTTTGTTGAATTTTTTCTAATTTATATTTAAAGTTTTGAAATTTCATATTAAACTATGGTAGTTCTTGGGAATATAGAATAGAACCCATCTATTTAAAGTCAAGGTGGTTGTTACGGCATTTAATATTATTTATTGGTTCTAAATGGAAGTTTAAAAACAATTAGTATTTTGTTTTTCAGATTTCTTATGTTCCAAGAAGAGATGATTATGTTGCCACTGAAGTTCTAAAAAATGGGATTGTTCGTGATTATTATCTTGCAACAAATATTAGAACTGTTCTTAACACATTTTTTATGCCATCTGAGTTTGATAGATCAGTAGCTGATCCCAGAAAGTTTTATTTTGCAGTTAGAGATGTTGACATTCAAGCTTCATGTGTTTGTAATGGAATGTCAAATCAGTGTTCACCAGAGGTATTTTTTTTTTTATTAATACTCTTGCATTTTATCTTTTTTGTCTTTGTTTGTAAAATTGAAAAAAATTTAATATAGGATTATGGAACTTGCATTTGTCAGAAAAATACTGATGGAAAAAACTGTGAAAGATGTAGAAGTCTTTTTAATAATAAACCTTGGACTTTTGGTCAACCATGTGAAAGTAAGTTATACTTTAAAAAGGTAGGTTTTTCACTTAAAAAGCAACTTTTATTCTTTAAGAGGGATAGGAGTGGGAGTGAATTTGGTTGAAATCATGTTTTTTTTCTCCAGCTAGTAGATTATAAAAAAAAGATTTAAAATAATCTATAGTAAGATTGTAAAGGGGGGGGGGGGGGGGGCAACGTTATAAAAATAGTGTGAACTAAAAGAATATAAGCAAAAAATTTATATGCAATGTTGACATAATTTCATTAAGCTGAAAAAATGAGTTTTTTTTACTTTAATTTTTTTTTTTTTTTTTTACAACTTGAAAGTAAGAAATCAAAATTGAAAATAGGATTTTTGCAAGGATTTGTGAAACAAGAATTTTTAATGGAAATTAGTTTAATAAGAGAAGCCAAAACCAGATAAAGTTTCCTTGAAATTATTGTTAAAAGATGTTTTGACGTTTCTGCATAATTTATCTGCATCATAAGAAAATGCGTGGTACAAAAAATATTTTACAATACTGTTAAATGGGGATAATTTTAATTCTTATAGTAAAATATTTCAAACTTATAAACTCAATAGAACATATCGTAATTATCGCACCAAGCAACATTAGCGTAATTTAGATATTAATGAATAAAAAAAAAAGTAAATGAATTTCAAACAGGTTTGGTTTAACAACTGTTTAGTATTGTATAGGAGGTCTATACTTTTTGATATTTATTTTAGATTATATGTATGTGCTCTTTCAGGTTATATTTTTATCTAAAACTACAATATTTCAAATCTTGAAATATTGATTTATTTTAAACATTGACACAATTATTTTTAAAATTTAGAATTGTGATGTCAAAATTAAGAACAAGAATAAAATAAGAATCTATAAATATATATTTTAAAAGAAATGTTTTCAAATTTTGTTTGTTTCAGTTTTGTTTATAAATGAATAAATTAAAAAAAAGTAAATTGTTTTTTGAAATTTTTTTTTTTTTTTGAATTTTATGTTTTTCAACATATTATTTTAATTTTTTTAATAAAATAAATAAAATTGGGTTAACTTTATTCAATACAAAATACCTATATAAAAAATAAATTTAGCATTTGTAAAATTTTATTAAGTTAACTATGTTTTTAAGGTTGTTCATGTAATTCTCACAGCACTTCTTGTGTTTATGATGCTACTAAAAAATATGGCGTATGTCAAAATTGTATGGATAATACAATGGGTGATAAGTGTGATTTATGTGCAGTTGGTTATTATAGAAATGTTGGTAAACAGCTATTTGATAAGAATACTTGTATATGTAAGTTTTGTTACCCTATATACTAAAAAAATGTTTGTCACTTTTTTTGTCTTTGCATTATATGTTAATATTGTTTTTAAATTATTTTTAATATGGTATGATTTTATAGCATGTAATTGTTTTATGAGTGGAGTTTTATTTGGAAGTTCTGTATGCAATCAAGTGACAGGCAGATGCTTTTGTAAAAGTAATGTTGATGGTACTTTCTGTAACACATGTAAAGATGGGTTTTATGGTCTCTCTGCTACTGTTTTAAATGGTTGTAATGCATGTGGCTGTTACAGATTTGGTACAATTAATGGAAGTGCTGTGTGTGATAAACTAACTGGAGTTTGTCCATGCAAAATTGGTTTTACTGGACGAACTTGTGCTGATTGTAAACCACTCTACTTTTCTTATCCTACAAGTAATCCATCAGAATGTCGGCCTTGCAATTGTGATCCTTCTGGCTCAGTTAATATGACATGTGATAAATCTGGTCAATGTCTGTGTCGGCAGAATTATTTTGGTTCCCGATGTGAACAAATTAGGACTGGTTTTTTTTCAGCTAGTGTTGGACAATTATTGTTTAGTCCGCAACAAGTTTCTTCTCCGGTATTTATGTATTTTTTTTTAATTTTCAATTTACTGTATTAAACTAATTATTTTATAAACTAATTATTTTATAATAATTATTTTATAATATATAAATAATGTTTTTTATTAAGATTTACAAACCTTTACTTAACTTAACCTTTTTTATTTTTTAATAGTTTTGTATATGTTTACAGTTCCTAACATTTTTTGTTTCCTAAAGCATTAAGAACTGAGGCTGTAAATAGCCTTTGGATAATTACATTCTCTGTTCTTAATGATTTAATCAGCAGAGTTTATTCCACTGTCATTCACATAAAGAAAACTTTTTTGCTTAGGAAGATTATTTTGCTTTTTATATTGATGTATGCTAAAAAGTGTAATTAAAGAATACACAATAAACAAAGAAAATAAAGTTAAAGAAATGACTTCAAGAAAATATTGTTTTTTAAATCTTCACTTTCAACAAAGCTGCAAGCAACCACTATTAGAGTTGGAAGCTATCAGAAGAGAAAAGATGAAGTTTATAAAGCAAGATAATAATTAACAGTCTACTGATGTTTGAGGAAAAAACTAGAGGAATAAGGGTTTTTGGAACACTTAGAAATAGCCACAGAAAAACGATAAGACTTAATTGAATGAAGAGTAACACGAGAATGAATTTTAGTAGATGGCACAAGAGATCGTTGCAGTATTTGTAGAAAAGAGAAAGAGAAGCAACATTACGACGATATGATAATGGTTGAAAGTTGGCTGCAAGAACAGGTCCAACTATGTTTACAATGCGTTTTCGAACCTTGTCTAAAAGAGAAAGTACTCAATACAAGTATAGAATCCGGAGTAAGAAAGTGTCAAGCATGATAAAGAGATGCAACCTTAGCAGATGCTATTTTTATAATGGATTTGATATATGGTTTCCAAGAAAGATTGGAAGTAAGTGTTAATCCTAGAAGATGAATGACTCATTGAGTGCATCACCATTCATAAATATAGGAAGATCTAAATTATTGTGGTAACAATTGGCTGAAAAAAATTGAGTTTTATCTAAATTAAAGTTAACCAGCCTCTGTGAGTCCCATGCTGTAGCAGAAGTGAGATCTCCAAGCAATCAGAGAGTATCAGCTTCTTATCAAGATAAGAATAAATGGCAATAATAAATCATCAGCAAACATATGCCACCTTAGATATAAGAATTTCTGGAGGATTGTTGATGAAAACTAAAAAAAGAGTAGGATAGAACCTTGACAAACCTCTAAAGTTACAGGAAATGAAGAAGAGTGCTGTCCAATGAGAGCAACTTTTATACTATGATTGGTAGGGAAAGATTCAATAGTTTTAAAGATGTTACCTGATGCACCGTAAGATAAGAGGTTACGGAAAATCCCATGCCAAACTTTATCAAATGCTGATAATTTTAATAGTTTTAATAGTAGGCCATAGAGAATTGAAAAATTGCATTTTTTTTCCAATAGTAGTTCCAATAAAATAATCCAAATTTAAATTCATATTAGTAATAAAAATATTTAGTTAAGCAAAATTTTTGTTTGAGTACAACTTTTTGTTAGCAAATAGTTAGGAAAAGTTTTAAGGCCAAAAAAACATCACTTAGTATTTCAAATATAGCTTTAATATTTATTTAAATGGTTTTCACACAATGGCCTATAGACAAACTATTTATCTAAATTTAAAAACATTTGGTGTTAATGCTAAAAATGTCATTGTGGAAATTAAAAATCAATTTTTAAAACAATAATGTTAAAACAGCTTGGACAAACATAGCTGTCAAGTTTTTAATGTTTTTAAATAAGTTATTTATTTTTATTGTCTTTGTATTGTTGTTTTTTTTAAATTTTAATTTTTCCTTATCTTTCTTTTTTTTGTTAGTCTTTTTTCTTGCAATTTAATTAAATATTTAAATATTTTTTTCTTTAGCACTAATTGATTAAAGCTCACTAATTTAAATAAATTTTTTTTTTCGTCACAAGACAGTGTATATTCGAATAAAAAGCTTTTGTTGCTTATTTTTAAAATAAAGTTGTTTGACTTAATCTATTTATTTTTTTAAATAAAATTTATGATAGTTATTTATTTTAATTTTAAAACAATTTTTAGCATTTCATAGAACTGTTAAGCCAGTTTTTTCACAGAATAAGGATATCATTGTTATGTTTCAAATAATTTAAATTTCTACTTAATTAATTTGTATTCATTTTAAAGTTGATTTTTTCTTAATAAATAAAAAAATGGTGTTGAACAATTTAATTTGTTAAAAGATGAGAAAAAAATGGGTTACTAGTTTTAGTACTCCATTTAAAATGTTTGATATTAAAAACCATCCCACATCTTATTGTTTTAATATATCTTTCACAAATATTTGTGACCTTCAAAATAACTTTCCATCAATTGAATCTTACCTCTTACTAAATTCATATCTTCAATCTATCACCTTTCTCTTTGTTCTTTATTGTTCTCCTTCTTCTCATGATTGCACTCTTTTAGATGTAATCTCTGATCAAATTGACCATGCTCTCTCTCTTTACCCTTCTGCCAATATTGTTGTTATTTATGACTTTAATGCTCATCACACTAAATGGCTTTGCTCTAACAACACTGACCCTGCTGGCACAAAAACCCAAAGCTTCTGTATTTCTCAATCTTTTACTAAGATTTTTCCAGACAACCCTAATCATTTACCTTCACTCCTTGATTTTTATCTTTTCTCTAAACATAGCTTGTGTTCAACTTCTCTTTTTTTTCTTTTGGTTCCATTCATGCAATGATCTCTATAAATCTTTTATCTTTTAAATTTTATTTTGGACTTACTAATCACCCATTTCATCATTGCATTACTTATTACTACCTTAAAGCTGACTGGGATTCTTTTCGTGATTTTTTTCGTCATTGAGCTTATGTCTTTTCTCTCTCCACTGATAAAATACGCCTATTATGTAACCTCCCAGATCTAGGCAGGCATGAAAGCTTTTATTCCTTCTTGTTGATTTCCAGTCAAGCTTCATTCTACTCCATGGTTTTCACTTTCTTGTGCAGCTGCTTTATCTAATCATAATCATTTTATACATCTTTTTTAAAAGAACAACTCTTGAGAACATATTCCTTTTTTATCATTAAATAGATTTAAATCTTAGGAAGTTAGGCTCTAGAGACTTTTGGAAAACCTTCAACATTGTCATTAAGTAAGTCTAACATTTGATCTATAAGTCATAAGACTGATCTTATTACATCTCTTATGGAGAGGGCAAAACTATTTGCATGCAATATTTCTTCTAATTTGACTTTTGAATCTTATGGCCTTATTTTTTCTGCCATGCTAGTTAAACAGATTAACACATAGTTAGACATTCAAATTACTCCAACTTCCATTGCTAAAGTCATTTCTCAATTAAACTTTTCTATGGCTTGTGGTCCAGACAACAATACTGTCATAGCCTTACAAAAGCGTTTTCCAAACTCTTTTAAATTTTCTCTTAACTATCTACTGGTTGCTTGATTGAATCTTGTTTTCTTCCCTGATTTGTGTTTGTGCTCCTCCCCCCCTCCTTTGCAGGGGGTGCGCATGCGCACGATGAATCTGGAAATTCATGTTATACTTTATAATTCGTCTATTGAAGCATTTACTGTATCCGTAGGACAATCTATTGCGCAAATGACTTTTGTACCTGTTTTTTTTGCAGAAAGAATTTCATGTAATTTCAAATAATTGTGCATGGTCTGATGTAGTACATACATGCTACATACTAAATTCAAATAATTGTGCATGGTCTGATGTAATACATACATGCTACATACTAAATTCAAATAATTGTGCATGGTCTGATGTAGTACATACATGCTACGTACTAAATTCAAATAATTGTGCATGGTCTGATGTAGTAAAAAGTAAAAAGAGTAACAAAACAGCTCAACTGAATTTATTCAATGTTTTTGTTAAAGAATCTCAAAGTAGAGACCTAAGACAAAAGAATTTAATAGTCTTTAGATTCAATACCTCTAAAAACAAGATAATGTAGCCAGAGAAGAAGATACATTAGGGATATAAAATATATTTAATCAGATTAATGCTAAAATTTCCAATTTTAAAAAATCTGGAGAACATTCTGACCAGTTATTGTTTGATCAGTCTTCTCTCTATTATTAGTCAAATAACTTACTCAGAAAATCAATATGGTTTTCAATCTTCTACAGCTGACTTGCTAACTGCTGTGACTGAAAGATTCTATTGTGCATTAGTTGGAGGCAGATAGGTAAAGGCTATTGCTCAAAAAATATCTAAAGCTTTGGATAAAGTTTGCATCCTAATTATTTCTTACTTACATTCATGATCTTCATGACAACCTTACATCTAAAGTAGCTCTTTTTGCTGAAAACTCAACTTTATACTCTTGTCTTCACAAAAAGTCTCTTTTTTTAAATGCATAGAACATGCAACTGTTATCTGATCTGATCTCAATTCTGTAAAAGATTGGGTTTGCAGTGGCTTATGAATTTAAATCCAATAAAACTCAGTTATGGAATAATGTTGTCATATTTCAGCCTCTAATGATACTCATTCTTTTAGACAAGGTCCAAAAATGCATTATAAATGTTGTTGGATCTGATTTATTTGTAAATCTTAAGCCTCTATCCCATCCTTGTAAATTTGCATCTCTCTTTTCTACAAATACTATCATGGTCGCTGCTCAAAGAAGCTATCATCTTTAGTTCCATCAAATTTTTGTTTGACTTGTCATTCAGCAGTCACATCTTTTTAATAAAATACTCTAAAAACATTTATTCTTCAAATTTGTTCCCCCCAGCACTTCATCACTTCTGAACTTTCTCCCATTTTCATGTTTTTCTGACTCATACAATCTACAACTTTTCAAATCTTCTGACAACCGTTTCCTTGCTTTTTAACTGTATTTTTTGTTATAATAATAATAATGGTAATAATAATAATAATAGCAATAATAATAATAATAATAATAATAATAAAAAAACATCAATAAATTCAATAATAATAATAATAATAATAATAATAGCAATAATAGCAATAATAATAGCAATAATAATAATAATAATAATAGCAATAAAAATGATAATAATAAAATAACATCAATAAATACAATAATAATAAAACAACACCAATAAAATATTTTAAACAATTTAGCTTTACAGTTAGCTACAAATAAATTTTTGTTTGTTGCTGAATAAAAGATTTTTTTATTAATTTTTTTTTCTCAAGAAAAGAATTTTTTTATTTTGTTTGAAAATTTGCTTAAATTTTTTGATTAGGTTGCTTACTTTCATGAATATATAAATTTAACTGAGGCCAGTGGTAATACATTCTATGTACTTGGTTATTCAGTTTCTATTGGGAAGCTTGATACATCAGCTACTCTTGTAACTTTTCAAATCAATGTTCCAAAAACAATGCTTTATGAGTTTTTTATTCAATATAAGGTATTATTCTTATAGTATATTCTTTTTTGTATTCTAATTTTTTTACACTTTTATATATTTTTGTTTTATATTTTATTAATGTTATTACAATGTTCTTGTTGTGTATTATATTCGTTAAAAAGGTTGATTTAACTTTTTTTTTCTATTTTTTGATTTTTTTTTTAATTGTTTGAAGTTCTTCAATAGGTAGTTAAAATCCAACTATAAAAAAATATTATAGCTTTTCTGTTTCTAAAAAGACTGCCATTTCTGTTTTAAATGTGTTCTCTTCTTTTGTAGCTTTGTTTCAGACCTCTTAATTTATGACAAGACAAGCCAATTACGACAATTTATGACAATACAACTTTATTGTGTTTGTGTTTTTTGAAATCATTTTCAAAAAGAGAAAAAAAGTAAAAGTTTTTTTTATAGTTTGAAGGTATATAAGTTTACCATTGATTTCGTATGGATGATGTAGTAATGATAATGATGCCATAAAGGGCTTCTTTTTCACATTCAGTGAAATTAAAAAAAAATACTTTAAAAAATTAAAAAGTGTAAAAGCCAAAACTAGAGATGCCATGAATAGTGATTTTGCTGAATACCGAATATTTGGCTTGATTGTCCGCCATATAGCCAAATATTCAGTAATACTTTCACTATTTCATGGGTGACAGTTTCCAACCTGCATTAGTAAAGTGAATAAGTAGTCAAACTATGAGTAATTTATGCGAAAATTAATTTTATTTGTTTGTTTAGTCATGTTATTTGTTGATTATTTGTTACATCAAACTTTGTTTTTTATAGGTTGTATTTCTTACAACCTATTTCGTAAGATATACAATAAGTGTAATTTTATAGTGAAAGCTTAAGAGCATTTAGTGACAATTGCGTTGTTTGCAATTTATGCTAGTTGTTAATATATTTATAATATTAACTGCCTCTAGAATTTGTAAATGAATTAATTGAATTTACTAAACAAAATTCTTTTATTTATAAATTTGATAGATTATTTTAAATTACAGACCTCAAATATTTTCATTAAAAACCATATAAATACATTAAAAATTAATTATCCTTTAAAAAAATTTAATCAAAAAATTAATTTAATAAACATAAAAGACTTTGTTCTTGATTGTTGTTTTGCTTTCAAAAAGCTATAATAAGTAACAAAAATTGTGTTATTTCAAACATTTGTTTGCAAAAAGCTTTAAAAATGGCATCTTTTAATAAAAAATCCTATTTCGAAATATTATGAAATTTGCAGGGAAGACAAAAAACTAGCAGTTTGTTTGGTGCGTAAAAACAAGATCTCGCGTGGTGGAGATGGAAGAAAAACATTTAAGTAAAACTATTATGTATATTACAACTAATTAAATATGTTTAAATAAAAAAAATTATTTATGCTGGTAATTTTTTTTTTCCTTTTTTTTGCATAGTAGGTACTTTAATTATTATAAGTTAAGTTTTTTTAAGTACTCTTTTTTGTTTCCAGCTACAACTTGTCTGAATAACCAGCTTCTAATCTAGCATTTTGAGCAGTGCACCAAGTTAATTGAAACTCCTTCAGTAAGAGGGAGCAAAAGTGACAGTTCACTCACCTTTACTGACTCTAATATACCAGCATTAACAGGTATGTTAAAAAAGAAACAGTTAACTCTGAAAGCAACACCTGATAGAAAATTATTTTGGGATATTTATGATCTAAAATCAATAAAATATCATTGTTAATTAGCTAGTATTTCACAAACAACAGCAGTATCCATGGCATCTAGAATGAGAACATATCAGCGTAACAACCAAAGTTTCTTGAGTTTTACTGCATATTGGATATCTCTAGATTTTATTCTTGAACATGCTGTTTTAGCAATGAAGCTGTTTTCTAATTCACATACTGGTACTAATATTGCAAAAGAAATCAATACTATTGCAGAAAGATAGAGCATTTCACATAGCAAAATCTATTTTCTTGTCCATGAAAATGGAGCCAATATGATAAAAGGTGTACGAGATGCAGAATATGATTGATATAAATAAAACAAGTGTTGTATTTATTTAGTACAATTGGTTCTCAATATATCGCTAAATTCTTAATAGAAATGACACAGATAGTAACTGCTGCAAGACAAATCATACCCCATTTTAACCAATCTAGTATAGTACAAGAAAAACTAAAATGCATTCATTAAGAACTTAAACTGCCAGACCACCAATTAATACAAGGTGTTAGCACATGCTAGAATTCAACATACTATTATTTGGAACGATTATTAGACCAAAAGTGAGCTATCTCGTTGTATATAACTGATCATGATTCTTTAAACACCTGCTCAATGGGAGTTAATGGAACAATGTATCAAATTTCTCAAGCTATTCAAATAAACTACAAAAATACCCAGCTCAAGTATTTCTTGCATTCCTGAGGTAATTCCAAATGATATCACATTGCTAAAATATCTGGGAAAGGGAGACAGCACAGAGAACACAGAATTTATCAACAGCAAGATCTTTGTTTCAATATCAACTTGAATGAAAATTACAAATATCTGCAACTTTTATTGACCCGCACTTCAAAACTAATTTCTTAGGTATAGTAAAAACACAAAGAGTAAAACAAAAATATTTTTTAGAAGCTCTTAAAAAAAGTTTTAAAGGATTTAGTAGCACCAATGATGACTTATCTCCACTTCAGAAGAAAAAAGATTTTAATGAAAATGATAAAAAAAAGATACACAATAGTTTCTGAAATTGTTTTGAGGAAGTTACTACAGAAAACATACACACAGATGAAAATGTTGAGCAGAAAAGTTCAACAGTAAACAAAATTGATTTATTCATAAAAACTGTTTGCCTAGATTGGAAAGTAGACCCTTACAAGTGGTGTTCAGCCAATGCAAAACAACATCTAAGTCTAGCAAAAATTGCAAAGATTTATTTATCATCTCCAGGTAGTAGTGTATATAGTGAGCGGCTATTTTTGGAAGCAGGTATAATTTACAAGGAAAAGCAGAATCGTTTGCTATCAACAAAAGTTGAAAAAATTGTTTTCATTCATCATAATTTACCACTGATAAAATTCAAGTATTTTTCAACTTGTTTTAAATATAAATTTTTTGTGATTCATAGAACCTTATATAATATAACTCATTTGCTAATTGAATAAAAAAATTTGTACTGATTTTATATTCAAGATAGCTTTCACATACTTTTAAAAACATTTAGTAACATTTGAGAAAGTAATCAATATTTAAAAAAAATGAAGTTACTAATATTAGGTCACTCAATTGTTTACTTTTTATTAAGTTACTTTTAGAGATGTCTAATTTTTTTATTTTTTTGCAGTCTTCTTGATGATTCAAATTTTTGCTTGATGAATCAAATTTTATTCGAAAGTGTAAAATTTGCAGTTTCTGATGCTTGCTTACATTAAAACTCGATAAAGCTTAACATTTTTTAAATGTAAAGTTTTTGTTTGGTAAAAGCATTCTTTTTGCTTGGTTGTCATTAAACTCAGGCATTGTTGGCAGCATATGTCTCAAGATCTCTCTCTCAAAAAGAAGAATCTTAATACATTCCTGTTCTTAAGTCTTTGTATTGTTCCTAAATCCAAGCATGTCTGCTGGATTGCATTGATTATTTTAAATGGAGTAATTTTATACCTTTAAATCTACTTTTGGTATTTTCAAACAATTCTTCCCAAAAGCAAATTGTAGACTTTAAATTATGTCTGTAGATGCTAAATTTGCTTGACCAGTTGATCAAAAAACACAAGTTACTTTAACTAAGGATGACTGTTAAATGATCAAAAAGTCTGTTGGTAGTTCCAAGCAATTCTCTGGTTGGCAAAGTATCATGACCTATTGTTTGATCAGGAAGATTGAATAAAATGAGTTTTACATAATTTTTTTAACCTGCCATTGAGAGTTGTGATTTCTTTGTAAAAACATTAAGCGTTTTCTGCTAATTAATAGGATTGGAACTAATCATTTAAAGTGTCCTTAATTTCCCTAACATTGTTTGATTTTCCAAAGTTTTGGAAATTTCACAACAAAGACAAAGATATGTTTGTGTAGGCGAGTCTAATCTAAGAAAAACATTTCAAGTTTTATGTCTACTGCAAGTGTGAAAGCAACATTTTCTAGACAAAATAACTCTAAAATTTGCTTTAAGTTCTAATAAGTTCTCATACTTTTACAAACTCCACAATTGCCAACAAATTTTTTCAACCTTGAGTATATTTATGCTTGAAAACAGGCATTTTTTTTAGTAAGAATACTTTTTGTTTGTTTCTCTTAGCTATTCAATACATGCATACATACTTTTAGAAACTCAGAGCCTACATCAATGTTTACTTTTATTATTTAGTAAAAAATATTTGCTGCTATTTGAGGTCTTTTTAATGGAAATGACCGACCTAAGATGCTTGTTCTTATTGATTTGAAACAAGCGATATTGCAATTTTTTTTTTTTAATATCCTTCTAACAATATTCTAAAAATAAGTGAAAGAATAAGAAAGTGATTGATAAAAAGACTTGAAAAATTTGTATGTGTCAGGAAAACATAAAAATGAAAAATGAATTCCAAAGCATCAATGTTTACTGAAAATATTAAATAAATAAAACCAATTTGAAAATAAATTTTGAGCAAGAAGAAACAGTTGTAATAGGATGTAAACTTGACTGTGTCACAGATTAAGATTGATGAATCACACAAGATTAAGTTTTGGCGAAGGAACAAGTGATTATTGCTTGGTGGAGCAGCAACAATGGTAGTATTTGTAGAAAAGAGAATGAGATGCAACCTAGCAACAAGATTATGAGACAGAAGCTCAAGCTTTGCAGCTAGAACAGGTCTCACATTTGTGAAAAATATGATAAAAGTAATTCATACAAGGGCAAATAAGAAGTTTATAAAGGTAGAGAATAGAGTAAAATAATAGAAAATAAGTAAAAATATGGCAAGCATGATAAAAAAAGTTAACAAGTCAGTAATACAAACAGTATAATAAGGTAACAAAAAGATCAAAATTAGTCAATCAAAATCAAATCATTCGATTTGATTTTGATGATTGTTAGAAAATAAATAGTTAGAAAAATTCAATATTTTCTGAAAGTCTCTAAAACCTAACTTCTGAAATGAAATATGAGGTTTAATTTAGAGTAATTGACCTTGGCATCATACAGTACTTTTTTGAATCAATGTCTTGCAAATTAGGCTTTTATAACTTAAAAGTTTAAAGTGCCGTAGATCACTTTTTGTTTTCTCTCCTTTTTTAAATTTTAAGTAGAATATGTCCACACCAAAAATTACATTAGTTAAATGTTCAGTTCGATTATAGTACTTAATGAAGTATTATCAAATTCTTGCAAGTGTTAAATCTTTTCTTACTGGTACCATATCTGAACCTTTTTACATGCATAAAAAATAAGTTATAACACAATTTTCAGTGTGTGATAGCATATGTGTGGTAATCATGTGCTTGTCATATATCACACATATATGACATAAGTGTGATATATATCAGAAATATGTGATATATGTGTGAGATAGCATATGTGTGATAAGCACAATTTTCAGTGTTTAATAGCAGTATGTGATAGCAGTGTGCTATGGCATATGTTTGATAGCAGTGTGCTATGGCATATGTTTGATAGCAGTGTGTGATGACATAAATGTGGTAAACACAATTTTCATTGTACAAACCTTTTTATGAAAATATAAGCCTAAAAATTGTAAAAACAAAGAATTTTCAGTTTTTTTAAATTTTGTGGGAAATACAAAAATGTACAAAATATAGTTTACCTCTGATAAATTGTTCTTAGCTTTTTCTGATTTTAGTTGGTGTTTTTACCTTTTTCTGATTTTAGTTGGTGTTGTAGATTTGAACTACTTTTTTGCAAAATTTTATTAATTTAAATTATTTATTTTAAAAACAAAGTAAACAAACATTTTCTGCACATTTAGAATTTTATTAAAAATACTAAAATAACTTTCTTGGACATTGGTAAATGTTTTTAAAATATTTTTTAATCTAAAAACCAAATGTGTGCTATAAAAAAGCTTTTCTTAGGTACATTTTCAAAACAATCCTTTATCTCATAAAAGGCCTCACATTTAAAAATTGGTGATGACTTAGCAATGAAACCACTCAGAGAGTACGCATCAAATGCTTGTGTATGAATGTTTTTTTAAATGTTATTTAATAGGTCACTAAAGAGCTAAACCCACCTTTTAAGAATTTTATTTTTTATGACTTTTATTTGATCATGAAACAGTTTGATATTTAAAAATAAAGTTTTTACTTTTAATTAAGTTTGAAGTTGAGATTGTTGATTAAAGTTCTGAATTGAGGTTTGATGTCAATTAAAGTTCTCAATGATCTTGTCACAATGATGAGAGATAAATCAGTATCACTAGGCAATAGAAGCTTTGCATTATCATAACATATTTAATTAGTGATGTAGAAATCAAATCTAGTTAAAGTAAACTTATTATATAATCTCATAAAAGCTAAAATGTCTAATTACATAAAAGCTAAAAAAATAATTTCATGAAAGCTAAAATATATAGTGTTATGAATGTTAAAATGTCTTTAATGTTGTTGCTCGACTTATAATTACTAATACTTTTTTAAAGCTTGTTTCTGAGATGACTGAATATTATGATCATATTGACCATGGTTACATGCTAATTGAGAAGATTTTACATTAAATGATATATTATTATTATTATTTTTAAAGATAAAAAAATATCAAGTTAATATTTCAAATTATTTTTTTTTCTAAGTGTAGAGATATATTTTCTGGGTTAAGTATGCAAGTTACAATTGAGAGTCAGTTTTTTCCATACTCATGTGATGATGGCACAATGATTTCAAGTAGTCTTGCAATGACATTAAGTGGAAGCTTAGATCCTGACACACAAACTCAAAGCTTTGGAAGTCTTTGTTTAAGTGTTGGAACATACAATGTTGTGTTATGGTTTCCTCCTGGAAGTGCAAAAAATGGTGCTAAAGTTTTTATTCTTGGGGTATTTATTTTTATTCTATGTTTTTTTCATTAAAAATGAAAAAGTCATATATATTAGACTTGGTATTGAAAAGTATTTTACTGCACAAGATGTACTATATATGTGTATATGTATTCATATCATCATCATCATCATCATCATCATCATCATCATCATCATCATCATCATCATCATCATCATCATCATCATCATCATCATCATCATCATCATCATCATCATCATTAGTTACAGTATCCATTTTTATTTTATAAAATTGTCTGTTTATAGTTGTTACTGATGCCATTCTACGAATCACAGAGTCGTTATTTGCTACTGGATTCAGATCAGAAGACAACTTTTAAACAGTTTTATTCAGTAGCCTCCTCTAGAGTATTATGGGCTACTCAAGAATTAGTTGGTGCAAAATCTTTAGCATATAGTTATGGATCTATATATGAGCAAGCTTTAGGTATGGATTTTGTATATTTATATGCAGCATATATTACAAATAATTTGTTTTAAAATTTCTAGAATAAAATTTAAACATTTTCTCAATAAAAAAAAATACTAAGTCATCACCCATGAAAAAACTATTTATTCGTTGTGTTTGAAAAACAATAGCTGCTTGTTGCAGCTTTTGTTAGGGAATGGTTTTTTTGAATATGACACAAAGATTTTTGCATTACTTTAATGCTACTTTTCATAATCATTTTTATGTATTTTATAATTATATTTTTTTATAATTCTTTTTTGTTTATACTCATTTGTATTAACATGACGTTATTAAATTCTTGCATTTATGTATTTACATACCTTATCTTACTTATAATTACTCATAAGTATTTACATTAATTCATATAGATTTTCATGAGATACTATTTATATTTATAAAGCATCTATGATCATTTATGTGGCATGTGTATTTCAAAAAATTATTCACGATATTTGTGAACTTATTCAGGGGAATTCTTTAAAATATCTACACAACCCATTGTTAAATTCTATAATTCTTTATAATTATAAATAATCTTAAAATAAGATTAATCTTCCAAGTCCATAAGTATAAAGTGTGTCCAAAATGTTGTTCAACTTTGTCAGGTTAGATGTATGATCATCATGAACACCTTGCAACTAGTAATATGTAAAATAGTGCAACTTTTTCCATGTCCTGCTGTCTTTTGGGATTCACTTTTTAAGCAAAGGCTAGAAGAAGTGTAGTTCCTATAATCAATACTATTTAATATATCTCATGTTTAAAGTGGTATCTAAGGTTGATGCTCATTCATCTGTAAGTTACTATATTTGTGTTTGTATTCTATGAAAACCTCTGACGAGGTGTTAGCTCATTCATAAGTTACTATATCTATGTTTGTATTCTGTTAGATTTTCTGGTGTAGTGACTACAACTATATAACATAGGTTCACCTTATTTTTCAGTAGATGTAATGTTTTTTCTAATGCATTTTCAAAATCTCCTGTTCAATGTTTTAAACTACTGCTTACAGAAGTAACTTCTTTTAACTACTCCAGGCCAGGTCAGGTTTAGGATCATCATGATCACCCTGGTAACATGTAATAACTGTAAGCAGCACAATGCAAGGAAAACTAAGGAGAACAGTAAGGCTTGATTTGGAATCATTGAAAAGGAATAAAAGATTCCATGCCAGCCTGAATCCAAGAAATTACATAAGAAGTCAGCAGTAAGAAAAGATTTTTATTCAAGGGCTATCACAAAGAAAATCATTGAAAGAGTCCCAGTCAGCTTTAAGGTAGTTGTAAGAGGTAGGGTGATAGGGGGATACTGATAATGAAGAATAATGAGATAATAGTTTTAGAGAGATCAAACCATAATCAGAAGATCCTAAGGGTGAATGTGGAGAAACTGAGCACTTAGGCAAAAGTTGTGGGCCTTAGCACATGCAGAATCAATCTTATATATATAAATCTGTGACCACGGTTTTTTATTAAAAAATTTAAGAATTTAGGATTATTTTGAATTTTATTATTTTTATTTTACAGCATGTGGATGTAACAGTTTAGGCAGCATTAATTCCTATGTTTGTAATATATATGGTGGTCAGTGCAACTGCAAGGAAAATATATATGGTAGAACATGCATGTCATGCTTGCCACAGTATTATAACTTTTCCTCTGGACTTGGATGTGTGCGTGAGTATTTTAATTTTATAACTAAACTTTTGTTTTTATGCAAATCATCACAAAAAACAAACACACAATTTTACTAATAATTATTTTTATATTATTTATTTTCACCAAAGACTCTTTTTTCAATTGAATATTTTAATGTTAATTATTTTCATAAAAAAACTTTTTTTTTTATTTGACTATTTTAGTTTTATTTAGCTTCAACTAAAACTAGTTTTTTCAATTGATTATTTTATTGTTATTTAGCTTGTAATTGCAATGAAGATGGCTCATTAAATCAAGATTGTGATTACAACACTGGGCAATGTCAATGTAACCCAAATGTTATTGGTCGTACATGTAACCAATGTGCTTTACAATATTTTGGAATTTCTACTGGATCTGGATGCAAGCCTTGTTTATGTTCAGCATTATATGCAACTAGTTCTCAATGTGATGAATCTGGACAATGTCAATGCAAACCTGGTGTAGGCTCATTGAAATGTGAATCATGTGCTCCAGGATTTTATGATCTTTCGGTATCAGGTATAAAATAAAGAGTTAAAAAAGAAATTCTAGTAAATGAATTTCTTTTTTAACTTTTTAGTCACTAGAATAGATTTTCTTAAAAAAGAAATTCTATTCTAGTGACTAAAAAGTACATTTCATTTTCTCAGAAATGGCATAGTGGCAAAAGATGTATAAGTGAAGAAATAATATTTTAAGTATTAACTTAAAATATTATTTCTTCACTTAAAAATATTTCAAAAATACCTATTATAGATCAAGCTTACAAAAATAGTTATTTTTGTAAGCTTGATCTATATGATTTTAGATTATGTTTCGGTTTTTTGTAAAGATGATGGAAATGGCCACTTGAAGTCATTATGAATATTTTTGGGAGATTAAGGAGAGGGGATAGGAGTCAAAAATATTTTTTGTGAAATTTTTAAATTGTTTATTTTTGTGTAAATAAAAATAATGTCAACAAGCAGTTGTTACAAAAATATTTTTTAAAAATTTGCTTTTTAGTCAAACCTTGTGTGTGTATGTATATATATATATATATATATATATATATATATATATATATATATATATATATATATATATATATAATATATATATATATATATATATATATATATAAACATTTTGTTTTATTAAAAAATATTTTTAAAACATGCGTAAGTGTTGCTACATCGACTTCCTTTTAGCCTGCTGCTACAAGGGAGTGTTGCTACATTGACTATCTTATAGCCTGACTCGCAAGGGAGTGCTGCTACATATATATATTAAAGCAATTCCACAGCAGAAAAATATTCTAGTTTTTTTGTTTTTTTTGTTAGCTTTTAACAAATGAGTATTGATTTACCTGAAAATATACATCTAATACTAAAATAAATTTTTGTCATTTTAATGGCTCCAAAAGTCAAGGTTTTTTCTCATAGTCACACGATAAAAAAAAATTGTTGTAAAATGTTATTTTAACCATTTTAACCAAAAATGAATGAGGTTTGCAATTCTTTAGTTGCCTAACTCTAAAAAGTCTAACTCTAAATAATAGATAATTCTAATATAAAAAATCCACCATAATTATCGCTTGGTAGCATAAGTGATGTAACAAATTGCTTTGTAGTGTAAGTAATGTAACAAATTACTTGGTAGTGTAAGTGATGTAACAAATTAAAAGTATAGTATCAAGATAACAAGTTTATTTTCTTTATCCTTTTTATCCACCTCTGATTCTTTTACCTCTAATGCATTTCTTTCACCTCTGATGCATTTCTTTCACCTCTGATGCATTTCTTTCACCTCCGATGTATTTCATTTACCTCTGATGCATTTTTTTTTAATCCTATAGAATTCACAACATATTAAGAAAACTTTCAATATGAACTGCATTATCGATTTGCACAAATCCAACCTGAACAATTTTCTACTGTTTTCTGCATAACATAAGTTAGGTAGCTTTTTCTGTAATAAATTTGCTCTTTTTTTGTTAAACCTTTTAGCTTATTTTATTCTTTAACCTAACAGCTTTTATACAAAATTGTTAAAAATATAATTTACTGTTTAAATAGACAAATATTTGATAAAGTTGTTACGTATGTAATGTAAGTTAAAATGGAAATGCCTATACTTATAATGTATTTCTTTCTAATCAAACTTCTTTCTTATCAAACTTATTTCTTTCTAATCAAACTTCTTTCTTATCAAAGTTATTTCTTTCTAATCAAACCTGTATTGATTAGAAAGAAATAACTAATAGTAAAAAGAAAAAGTTACAATCAAAAGTCTAATAAATTGGTAAAATATCAACACCTAAACTATGGCAGAAAAAAAAATTTATAGGCATCTAAGAGAAAATTTTTTTTTTTTACTTTTTTGATCAGAAAAATGTGCATGTGCCTCTTACTTGACTGCCATCCATCCATTGCCATCCATCAACATTTTTTTGCATTCTAATTCTCTTTCATTCTAGTAACCTAACTTTCATCCATTAGATTTTTTGCCATGCAGTGTGTAGTTTTTGAAATAATCTTATGGTCTAACTTGCCCCTATGCTCATCTAGCCTCACTCTACGCTTCACTAATATATTTAAAAATCAGTTTCATTTTAAATTACTTACAATCAAAAGCTTGTCTGAAAAGTCTGTTCAAGCGCAGTATTTATTATAATGACTGTTTTAGGTCATTTTGTTATTGGTATTATGTAGCACAGAATCATGTTATGCGGTCTTTTAGAAACTGTTATCATATAAAAGAAAGGCAAAATCCTAACATTAGTGCTTTTATTTAATAGGTTGAACAAATATTATTGGTATAATGTAAGCTGTATAATGGTATTATTTTAGAAAAGTTTTCCATGAAAAAGTTGAAATTATATTTTGACACATAGTTTGACAATACTAAACACCAGCATAGTTTATCAATAGTAAGGGCTAATACATATAATACTAATAGTATGGTATATAATACTAATATAATACTAATAGTATGGTAGTTCCTAAGTATGGCTTATAGTTTGGTAGTTGTAATGACTGGTGCAATGTTTGATAGTTGTAAGGGCTGAAAAATAGTTTAATAGTTGAAGGGGTTGGCAAATATTTTGATAGTTAAAGGGACTGGGACATAATTTGATAGTTGAGGGGAACAACAAATAGTTTGATAGTTGTAAGGACTGGCACTATTTGTAAGTTGTAAGAATTTACGCATTGTTTGACCAGTTGGTAAATTCTAGTTCCTTTTTAAATTATAAAAAAATTAAATAGTATGGTTTTTTAATTTATTTAAAATAGGAAATTAGAAATATTTTCTACCAAGTTGAAAGAAATAATCATTTATTTGTTGGATGTGAGAGAAATGATGGTTAGGATGAAAACAATTTATTTATTGGAAAAAAATTATCAAATTATTTATTTGTTAAAAAATGATTTTTTCTTTATTAGCTGACCATTGTTATATATGATAAATCCGTTTTGTTTATTGTTGAAGGAGAAAATTATTTTTACTTATTTTATGATCCTAAAAGTTCTTAGAAAAAAAAAAAAAAAATTAAAAATAAATGAGCTAACTCTCTTCCAATCAAAAGTTTAAAACTTACAAAATAAAATGTAAAAATTATTTGTCAAACTGTGAAGTTAAAATAAATTGATTAAATAAGTAAACCATTAATTACAAAAATAAATTGATAAACAGTTAGTTACACAAATAAATAAAAAGTTAAGTAAATAAATAATGGTGTCATAAAATTAATTGGTTCATAATTTTTCAATAATAGTATTTAAATGTAAGTTTAAATACTATTATTATTTTTTTAATTTTATTCTTTAGGGTGTAAAACCTGTCTATGCAATCCTATTGGTACAGCTGGTAACAAATGTAACCCAACAACAGGCTCATGCACTTGTAAAGACCTAGTTATGGGAGTAAAGTGTGATCAATGCACAATAGGTTACTATGGTTTTAGTAGCGATTTTCCGAACACTTGTTTGAAGTGTTATTGTTCTGGAAAAACAAGTGAGTGTGATGCAGTCAGTGATTATTATTTAACTTCAGCTAGTACTTTATTTTCTACAACACAAAATAATGTTGGCTTACAAGGCTGGACTTCAGTTGACATTTATGGTAAAGATAGTGGCAAGTTAGAGTGGGACTGGGCACCACTTTATTCAGTTGATAGGTTTGGTTGTTTTACAAAAGTTTATTAAAGAAAAAACAAGTTTTTTTAAAAAAAGTCTGTTTGCATTTTTGTTCTTAGTGTTGTAATGTTTTATTTTTTTATTTTAGAGGCTTTGCAAAATTAACTGATACAAATAGTGATACCTTGTTTTTCTCAGCTCCAGACATTTTTCTTGGAAGTAAACGTTCACTCTATATGTACTATATCACATTTGATTTAACTCAGTATGATGATGCTAACCCAATGGATCCTACAAATGATGGAGATGTAATTATAAAAGGGAAAGGATTAAATTTTAAGCTGGTTATGGTGTTACCAAGACAACCAGCTACACATCCTACTTTTACTTCATACAAAGTAAAGAAAGCATTAAAATATAAATTTTTTTCATTTTGTAAAAGTATTTAAAAAAATATTTCATAAAATTAAAACCAGATATTTACACTTAAAATAAAATATGAATGATATATATATATATAATATATATATATATATATATATATATATATATATATATATATATATATATATATATATATATATATATATATATATATATATGTATATATATATATATATATATATATATATATATATATATATATATATATATATATATATATATATATATATATATATATATATATATATATATATATATATATATGTATATATATATATATATATATATATATATATGTATATATATAGTTAGGATGTCCCAAAAAAAACAATACAATTATATGCTACTACCTTCTCAATGTGTTTTTTATTGTGTTTCTTACCTGGGTGTTACCTTACTCATTACCCAGGTAATTTACAAGTTTTTTCTTAATTGTTACCCAGAAAATATTTAAAATTTACCCAGGTAATTTCAGTTAATTTTAGTTTTGTAATTTTTTAAGAAATCTTATTTGTAAATGAAGCTTTTTGTTGTGATTTAATTTTAATTAGTGTAATAATTAAAATTTAATTAATTTTAATTCCATAAAAAGTTTTATAATATAAACCCATCTTTATGACAATTATATATATACATACTAGAAGTCTAACTTACAAGCCTTTTACTGGAAGAAAAGTAAATGTGAATCCTTTTTTTGTTTACAAATTTAATCCGCCATAAAATGAAGATTAATAATGCATGTTGAGAGCAGCTAAAGTTCCCTATAAATTAAAGATCATTTGAGAACTTGTTTTAAAAATCTTCTTTTTTTAATAACTACTACTTATTTTAATTAGAAATATCATAATTCATAGAAATTCCAAAAAGAAATTCCAAAGCATGTGTCTAGCTATCTTTTTTATTTGAAACTTCAATCCCTATCCAATCAGAGAGGAAACTTTTTAATTAATCAAAGCAAAACTGTTATTTTATTTTAATTGTTGTTTTTCAATTTTTTGATATTTTCTAACCCTTTAAAATAAATAGAATCTTGTATGTTCTTGCATCTTGTAATTTCAATAAGTGTTAATTTAGTAAACTGTTTATTTATTCCAATCTAACTTTTTTCAAAAACGAAAAAAAAAGTTAGATTGGAATTCTTATTTACAACATAATTACTTTATTTCTAAGAAAATAAAAGTTATAAAACATAAAACCTTATATTAGTAGTCTTTGATGAAACAAGCTAGATTTATACTCAGTAAAAAAAAACCTAAATAAAATTTTAACCCAAAACAAAGTGTTGTAAAAATCGTGAGAAACTTTTCATAAAGCTAATAAAGTTAAAAATATGTAAAAAAAACATAAGAAAAGGTTTGTTATAATCATAAAAACTTTCACAAAAATCTTACAGTAGTAAGTTATAAGAAGTATTCATATTTCTTATATGTTTCTGTAAAATTTAATAAACATTTATAAAAACTTTTAAAGAAAAATCAGTTTTACAAAAAAACTTTATAGAGAAATTAAGTTTAAAGATAAAAATTATGAAACTTATTTATTTTATTCTGTTAAAAACTTGATGTTTTTTTATCTAAAATAACTAAATTCATGGCCTTATCTTGATTGCTAATATTGAAAAAAAGTAATTGATAAAATTATTCGAGTGATATCTGGGTAATACCCGGATTATATATAGTATTGTTCTTTGGGAAACCCTAGTATATATATATATATATATATATATATATATATATATATATATATATATATATATATATATATATATATATATATATAATATATATATATATATATATATATATATATATATATATATATATATATATATATATATATATATATATATTAGGGTTATATATATATTAGGGTGTAATATATTATATATATATATATATATTATATATATATATATTAGGGTGTGTCATACTTTTTTTTTTTGAATTTTGACTCGCATAATTTAAAAAAGGGTGAGGTATAATAGTACAAGTTTAGAACCGTCGACAAAAAAAAAAAAAAAAAGTTTTAGCTACCAGGGAACCAGTGACACTATTTTACCAAAAACCCTAGGGGAGGGGGAGGTATGAACTTAAAAAATTGAAGTTTTTTTTAAAAAAAACTTACAAAACGCAAAAAAACGTCATCTCTATTTTAAAAAAAATATAATTATTTGTATAAAAACAACTAGAATGGTTTGCCCCCCTCCCACTACCTCCCACTAAAACTGTAAAATTAGGTTGTTTTGGAATTAAAAATAAAACTTTCATATAGATCCACAAAACATCTACTGGCACATTAAAATAAAGTACAATAAAGATTAATTCTTAAACATTGTCAAGCCAATAAAGTTTTGTTTAGATAGATTTCGTGACATCAACTTCTGTGACAACTCTTGTCCTTTAATCCAACCATTTCTTCTATCTTCTGTAAAAATATTTTCACAAGCCTGGGTAGCTTTTTTTACACATCTTTTGACAGCTTGAGTGTGGCAACACCAGTTTGGTACAATCATTGGTTTAAAAAAATACTCTTTGATGTCTTTAGTTGTCATACAACAAATCAAAGGTGGTTCAAAAGCTTCATTCCAATCAATAAGGTCCTTGAGACAAATTGCTTTAGTATTGATATCTGGTGTCCTTCTTGATCTAACAGATAGATCTCCAAGTTGTACATTTTCATCACCTTCTCCTCTTATTTCAAGAATTTTGTTTACACTGAAATCTCTCTCCTCTTTATTTTCAGAACAAAGCATAGTTTGAAGAATAGATTCAGAGAAGGCATACCAAGCAGATCGCTTAATAGTTGGAATGACCATATTTTGAATATCGAGTGACTGGTGTTGAAGCAACTTAAGCTGGTAAAGAACATGTTTTGGTCCTTCTGTCCAACTATATGATTGGTTGCTTCATCAAGTAAGCTTCCAATGGGTCCACTCCATTTTGTACTGCTTTTAGATTCTCCGTCTAACAATTTAATTAAACGTTTGAGTGGTAATTCATTGGTATGTAGAGCGCAGACAATCCAATTTAATTTTCGCCCTAATTTCAGCTCCATAAAGTGCATTACTCCTCCATCCCAACCAGTGTTTACATTGGTAGAATTTCCGCAAATTGCTTTTAAGTGTGTACTAATGTTTCTCATTGCAGTATACTCAATAATCTTATCTGCTATAATTTTAGCATGGTTCTTTTTTGCTTCTTTAGCTGGAGTGAAATGAAATAAATACTTACCATCACCAGAACAAACAATGTAATGTTCTTCTTTTACTTTAGCCGGATACTGTCTGTCTGATCCATCTACAGTTAAAAATACTTTAGTAAGATCTTTTCGCCCATCAAAAAATATGCAGTCAATAATCTCTTTATTACAATAATCATCAAACTGAACAGCAACTTCATTCATGACTTTATCCCTAGCTCTCCGAACTTTACTGTGATCTATTATTAATCTAGTGTCACTTTGGGATACAAGTCCTCCATCTACCCATGCTGCAGTAGCTATGGCTGCAGTTGCTCTTAAACCAACACCATATCGAATACTGGCCAATGCAATATTAGAGATATCTTCATAATTTCTAGATTTTTTTAAATATTTTGTACAAGGCTTTTGAATAGAAAAAATCTCATTTTCATTAGATTTCTCTTCATAATTTTCATGTTCGTTATCTTGTTCATATTGCGTATTATTTTCTTTTTGATTAGTGTGTTTTTTTTCTCTCATTTGTTTTTCTTCTTCTCTTCTCCGTTTGCAACTTTGTACTTTTTTGAACTTTTTGGACTCCATCAAATCAGCAGGCCCAAGTTGATATGAACTTAAAGATCCAATCTTTTCTCGTTGGGCTAAAAAAATATGACAACAATTTGCTTACAACCAGACAAATTAAAATAAAATTTTCTTTTTAAAATAATCAAAGAAATCAGTATAGTATAATAAAATTTGGTTTTCTGCTTTACTAACACTTTTATAGTGACTTTCATATATTCACTCATACCTTTTATATAAACCAGTTCATTTATTGGTATTTTTCTCTCCCTAGGACATATGCAGGTAATGTGGGCACCAACTTTACTGTCAGTAGAACAGCATTGCTCAGAACAAAGAGATATTTTACAGTTACACTCCACCAAATCAAATAGTTTGTCAATAATTAAATTAAACTTTTGTTTTATAAATTTACTTGCTCTATTTTGAGAAATCAGGTTAGCTTTGTTCCATGCAACTTTAAGTCTTGTTACCAAATTATGTTTTAAACTAATTACGGGAGGCACAAATAAAACACTGGCCATTGCCATTTTTCTGAAAGTTTATTATAAATATCCTGGATCAAATCAGAATTACTATAGTTTTCTTCTGTTTAGTTTGCTTGTTTCTCTTAAAAAAATACCATATCTTAGGACATCTCTCAGTGTTGGCAGTTCAGCTGTTGGCAACTCTTTTTCAGATCCAAATATTGGCATAGAAAAGAATCATTTCTCCATCTTGTTCCAGCAGCCATTTAAATTAATTATACTTTGTATCTAGTAATTTTGAAAATTATATATATATATATATATATATATATATATATATATATATATATATATATTATATATATATATATATATATATATATATATATATATATATATATATATATATATATATATATATATATGTATAACTTGCATAACAAATATTAAAACAAAAAACTTTAGAATGATGTTTTCTGTGTAGCCATTTAGAACCATCAATTAAAATGTATAACTTAAATTACATACAAAAGTGGCACTAATTTACATCTCTACCCCCTATTTTTATGTTTGATTATGAGAACTTTATGCTGATTAAGAATCGTATAAAAACATAGCTCTGAAAACTAAAGCAAAATACTCTAATTAGATCTTGAAGTTTAAAATATTACACAAAAAATGCTAATAATATTCGCTCTTTTAAATGCAACTAAACACTTTTTTAT